TCTCTCACGATGCTGGTGGTTTGGTCCGTGGGTCGTGGGTCGGTACAACAAGTAATTTATGTCTATTGGTGTTTATGACGTACAGTAACATAAAAAATGTATAATTATATACTTATAAAAGTATCACTACATTAACAAACCCGACGAAAATATAGACAATTAAACATTATGCGACAATCCTAAATTTGTACACTAGAAGAAAACTTTCGGTAAGAAATCAAAGGAGATTTGTTTTAATTAAGGTCCACAATAAATACATGTCATACTCATTATACTGTACTACTTGAGACAAATTTTCTTTACATCGTGAGATTCCTTGTATACTTTACGTTATTACGTTATTGTCACGTCTCTATCTAACCACTCGTTCAGGTGCTTTCTCGAGTGATTGCAACCAACTACCGCACACGTAGTTCCCGAACCACTTTTCTTCATGTTGTAATTGTTATATCCTCTTTGTCTCTGCGATATCAGTGCTTTGTCGGCACAACGGAGCTAGCTAGCAAAACAAACCCAGTCCGCCAAAACGGAAGTGCATTGCATCGAAGGGAGGAGTTCAGGATGTAGAGCGGAAACGGCTCAATAACTTGTGTATATGAGGCTGTCAAATGAACTGCTTTGAATGAGCAACCATGAGTAGGCTATCATTTTATACCAGCAAAGCCTGAGAGACTGCAGCAAAAATCAACAACAGTAATTTCATGTTCCAATGTGATAATGCGCAGCATGAGGCTTAAATAAATAACACCTTTAGGCTACAAATGATATTGCAATAACAGTCAAAGACAGTGTAGGCTACACGACATCACATCTCTCAGTCCTGATGTACAAACCAACAAGAAAAGCCATTGCAAAAGAAAACACTGCAGCCTGTGTGACTGACTATCAATTGTAAATATACAACCACGTTTCTCTAGGTAGCCTTATCAGAATTAACCTAAAAAGAGGACAACATTTAGACAATAATCGACAACAAATAAAAAGAGCAATGACCATACATAACCTGAAGCTTTTTAAAGAATCAACAGCACAATGAAACATATTACCAAAGCAAACACGACTATGACGCAGCTGCAACCACAAACAACAATGAGAGACGATATCGCGTTAAAGCCATAGACTGTATATATGGTTAAAGCAAATAAATCAATAAATGCATGCGTTAGTGAAGCCTACTCACCGGTCTGATCTTCATTCTGTGAGCCTCGTAGTCCTCCTCAATTTGCTCCAAGTTAGCTTCTTTGCTCGTTTATTCCCTGTACACAATTACAACCATTCCATTCAGCCACTCTGTCCAAATCTCAAAGTTTTCAAACATGTTGGACTTAATGACTGCAGACACATTGGAGATTACCGTCACAAAAAGCGGGAAAGCCTCCCTCCTTACTTGAGCTAAAAGTCCCACAGGGGCCGGCCCAACACGAGCAATTGAGCATTTAGCATGTTAGCCAAACAACCACCTTGCACCTTTTAGTGGTTACCACTCTCGTGGGTGTGTTTGATTTAGGTCTCTTAGTATCTGCCTGGGTGGGGCACTATGAAATCTGTGGTATATTAGTAGATAGATGCAACATCAGAATGCACTCTATTGAGTTGAGTTTGCCTACACTGAAAAAACTGAAACGATGATTTAATTAAATGTATTATTATCAACAAATTAAGTTGAACCTAATATTTTGTATTTAAACTTAATATTATTACATAATTATTAAAGCAATAATATAACCTTATGTCAAATCTGTTGGCATAATACATTTAATTAAAGTCAATGTTTCAGTTTTTCAGTGTACCATAAGAACATATCATGATGATGTGATATTTAGTTTTGTTGCATTGTTGTGAGCTTTGTTTATTAACTGCTAGCCCAGCCAACGCTCCCTGACCTTTACAGCTGAGATATTATAGTATTATTTCCAGAGTTTTCCTCTTTGGAGCTTTTTCTCGACTAATTTGCCTCATTTAAGTTCTCTTTATTGGAGCAGGAAATCATGAGACAATCAATAAAAAGAATACACAAGAATGAGTTTGAGCAAATAGTTAGCCTACTTAGTTTTTATCGATTTATTTTCAGAGGTCCTCTTGAGGGCTTTTCTGCAGCCACATGTATGACCGTAAAATCGTGTCTTTGTGGTAAAGAGATTCATCAGAAGAGCTGAAAACAATGTGTCCATCAAGCATTTTCTGAAAATGTTTGTGTTGCTTAGTGAGAACAGAGAAAATTGGTTCAGATAAAGCAGTACTCTGAATTGTAGATTTTTAGCAACTGTCTTTTTTGGGAGCACATCACAATAATCTACTGCCTGTTGGTAATGACAGCGTCCATTAGTCTTTCACAGTTCTCTGGAGAGAGACATTACCTGACCTTGGTGTATTTCAAATGTGAGAGAAAGCAGTTTGGCAACGTCTGTATTGCTCTGACCTCACATCAATAACCCAGTTTTTTATGATACGAAGCATCAGCAGATTTAAACTTCACTGTTGGACAAAGTACACCTTCTAGTAAGTAATAATATTAATGATAATAATGATTACTTAAACAACACATATCAGGATGTGAAATTATGGAAGATGCTCTGTCAGGTGAAACTAAAGCCACAGGTAGTGCTGAAATGCTCCCTAACCGTGTAGACTTTCCATTGGGTGTAATTAGAGAGTTGTTGTACGCCACATTAGAGGCTTCGGTGACAAATGATTTAACGAGCTACACAGGGAGTCCTAATTATTCTCCAATTAGAAAAGTAATTATGGGTTACTCCAATGGCTGGCTTGCTAGTTGGCTAGCAGTGCGAGGGTGCAGAGACAAAGTAAGCATCACAATTAGATGGCAGTTAATCTGTCACACATGGATTTGCAAAGACCTCTGATCACTGGATGGAGTTAAGGCTCTGAGTTTCTAATCCATCACTGTGTTCCTAAAACAAATTACAACCAGTGTCCAGACTTCTGCTGTTCTTAAACACCAGATAGAGTTGTCCGGCAGGTAATGGTTTATAATTGCAATCCCCTCAGCCCCTTAAGAGAAATATACCTTATTAAGTTGCTGCACAAATGTACAATAGGCACTATAAGATCAGCTCATTGAGGTCTAGAGAAGGTAAGAATGAGAGGATACCATGGGCTTTTATTTAACATCAAACCAATATTATCATGTAAGAGAAGTGAAGTCAGAGGGGGTGTTAATCTGTCCTGCAGCAACAGTTCCTTCAAAAGTCATTTATCAATATTGTTGCTGTTTGTAACCCTACAATAAACCTGTGTTGAGTTACAATGGATTTTCCTTAAGACAGGACCCAAGTCAATATTTTCATCATTCCTTTTGTGTGATTACCCGTAGATTAATGTCAGATTTGGCAAGTTCCCCCGACTTACTGTATATACTGACTGAAAGAATCATAAGTGCTCTCTTTGGACTTAATGCGTTGGAAGTGTCATGTCTGAACTCTGTCTTTCTTTACCAATAATAAGATACAAATTACAATAATTTCCCTGACAGTACAGTACACAGCCTTAAAGTGGATGCAGTTAAACACAAATGTTGTAACGTTAATTTATTGCTCAATTGTGCCTTTTATTTTGTAAGTTTTGATATTTATAATTTTAAAACATCCTGCCTTTTCACTAGTGATGTTACTGATGATGTCAACATCAACGTTTTCAGAATCTTTGGGGAATAAAAATCAAAGCCTGTAGTGCGGTTCCAATGCTTCTGTGTTTTTGTCATTGTTGACCAGCTTTGAGTAAAATATATAAAAAACTTCAAATTAATAAACCACCCCTAGGTCCTCGACTGTTTTTGGACATACACTTTTGCTTTATTATATTTTCTAGTTTTAGGTTGAACATGTCAACAGATTTGGTCCAAACTATCCAGGTTATGGGTATGCTGTATATGTGTGATGCAATATGTGCAATCATCGCTTCAGCCAGAGTTAGTGTAGGGTCAGCTTGATAGCACCATATTATTGGTATGTTTCTATATTTACAAAATATATTTGTTCTTAAATTATTTATATGCATATCAACACCTTGAACAGTTTTTATGATGAAGATCCCCCTGGTCTCACTTGAACATTTTAACATTTGACTGCCTCAGAAGAAAACAATCTACAAAATAATAAAGCCTTTTGTTTATGGGTCAGTGTGCGTAGGTGTGTGTGTGCCGTGCTTACAGACAGTGCAGGGCCCCGTGCACTACAGTGCTATGTTTTAGTAATGAGGCTCTCGTGCCAGGGAGAGGGCGTAGTATAACTATCCCCTCCCTGAGCTCTATATGACCCCCAGCCTACTCTGCCTTTAACCATTCATTTTTAAATTGGTATCCATATACTCACCAGAGTTTAGAAACACTCTGCATGCATGATATGACTCAAAAGGAGATTTGCAACAGATCTTTATATTTTCATGAGCCAGGTCCCAAGTTGAGAGGCATTAAACTATCAATATCTAAAATGAAGAGCTCTTGGCAATGCCTTCCCTTACCATCTTATTTAAGTTAATATTTGTAGGTGTAGGTGTGTGGCCGTATATAAGTATGTCAATGCATTTGTGTGAGTATATACTGTCCGCAAACCTTTGAAAATAGTTCTATTTTCGAATGTGTTAGCAATTACAAAAAATGACATAAAAAAGAGAAGTAAAGCAACACAGCTGACAAAGACAATCGGGACTCCAACACATTTGGGATCAGACTTTTAATTGGACTTAAATTCACATAAATAACATTGGTTCATATATATTTTGTATATTATACAACTTTATATAATATATATTTCCCCCGATTTACATTCCTCTCTGGCTAAAAGTATCTCTCATATCTCCGGAAACAGACAGCCTTGCATAAATGCAACACTGTTATTTTTGTGCTGTTTATCAAGGTCCAAGTGCCAAAAGGAGAGGAGCGTGTTTCTCATGAGTTGTAAAAAATAATTTCCCAAGTTACACAGACAAAAAGCAAAAAGGAGAATCTATTGTATTGTCTCTAGGGTATTACACTGCACTACAAGGAGTGGGTAGCTATTGAAAATCATTCACCGTATATATTTTACTGTATTGACTTATGACACAAAGAAAGAAAGAGCACTGCAAAATATCTGATATGCATGGCAATGAACATTTTGTTTTTGAGTGTTCTTGTCCTGGTTTATTTTTTGAAAAAGAAAAGAAAACGTATGCTGTACGCAAGATAAGAAACCCCATCATGAAGATAAGGAAAGATTGATGAACCTGCAGCAAGGTCACATAATCATGCAGTGACCCAGCCAAACACGCTTGCACAGATGAGTTGAGCTTGTCTGGATCACAAATCAGCATTTGGCCGTTTCGAGTCTGTGACCGACATTATTCAACACAATGGGTGGATATTTGGAAGTCAGGTAAAATCTACTAATCTCCCTGACAGAAAAAAAGAACTCTCTTTTCATACTGGAGCCCTTCGACCACTGGATTATCTCTGTTGCCTGTAGCGCTTATAACATCAATACCTCCATCACACAGTAACCTTAAATGACCACTGCAGAATAAAAGCTGCACTGTACTATGACATGTTAGATTTTCACTACTTTTCTATTGCTTTGAGTTTTACATCAATTGGTCTTTTGCTTGAACGTATCATAGGGTAACTAGCATATGATTGAAATCAGTGTGTTTGCCTGTTTTTTCAAGTCGAGTAAATCATATTCTGTCAACACAAATGTTACATGACTTTAGACAGCATGTATGTAGTGATGCATAAAAGAGTGGAAATGGCCAGTAGGTGTCACATCTTTGAGACGCTGGTACAATATGTAAAACACCTGCTTTTTGTCAACCCAACCTCAATTGTCTCAATCCTGTTTCATGCTACACAATCATTTAAATCTGCATTAACTGTGGTACACATTTGATTGTCTGAATCAAAGACACTACCTGAATGCCAAGCCAGAAAGAAACCACACTGTGCCTTTGAATCCAAATAAAAAGTAAGTTCCAACTTCAGCTGCTATCTGAAAAGAGAACAATAACCAAAAGAGGTCAAGTCTATTGTAAGCGACAAGTCATGACTGATGAAAAACAAGACTTAGTGGACTTTAAGCTCCTGAAGTTACCCAGTGAAGCGGTGTAGGATCCTACAATGTTTCATGCATTTATCACAATAAAGCCAACCTAAACGAAACATGACGTGTAGGTTTGTGTGTGTATGTGTGTTAACAAATCACAGAGGAAAACACAATCATGCCATGACGTTGCGACAGACAGCAAGTTAAGTGTTAACCCCATCCTTCCCTGAATAGTCAAAAACAAAGTAAAGTTTTTTTTTTAACAGTTATTAGTTTATCATTTCATCATGATAAAAAAGCATAAACATCACCATAATCATATCCCTTTTCTAAACAAGATAAAGTTAGTATATGCTATCCAAAAGAGCAAAGGGGAGGGAAAGTCACGGGTTGTGTTTAAAGTGTTCAAAGCACAGTGAAAAAACATTTAAGGGGTTTCTGTTTAAGGACATCAAGGTTAATATAATATTTTGAAAAGTGCTTTATTAGAATACACTTATTTATGGGTAATATTCAATAACCATCAATAACTCTTGATCATAAATATATGTATTTTTTAAATATGATATTAAATGAAAAAAATGGATGATGTTGATTTTTTCAGAGTGAACACAACCAGCAGATGTGAAAGTTGTTTCTTTCCCTCCCCATTACATCCCTGTCACGCAGCTCCATCTACTTTAACACTCAGAGGGGAAATAGTGTCAATGAAAAAGTGCATCATTAATATGTTGAGATTAATTATAAACCATATTTTTTGTCATAAATAACACTTTTTTTCTCTAATATTCAATAAACCTCTTATTTTACAAGATGAGTAGTCAAATGATGCAAATCTGCCCCCTACGATCATATCAATATCTGAGAACAACGTTAATACTTCCTGAAACTTAGGAAGCTACAGCCGGCAACACAAACCAGACTGCGGTGTCAGATATAGGAGGAAGATCAAGGAAAAGACTTAAGCAATGACCACTTAAAGCTACTAAGGGTACAACACATAAACAGTGATGCGGTGCATCTCAAAACGTGCCCAGCTAGCTTGTAGTTGTGTTAGCATGATGGTAGCATGTACTTCACACAATAAAGCTGACTCAAAAAGGCACATCAACATCTAAAAGGAAGAAATGTTTCAGAAAAATGCTTGTAAGCTTTCTTGTTGAAAGTTAGATAATACCACTCATGTTTCATTATGCAAAATATGAAGCTAAGGCCAACAAGCTGTTAGCTTAGCCTAGAACAAAGATGGAATAACAAGTAGCTTAGCTCTGTCCAAAGGCAAAATCCCCCGTACTGCAGCACGTGCAAAGCTTGGGAATGAATATGTTCTATGACATTTTTTTTACTTGTAAACTTTTCACTGTAGTTTTACACAAAGCTATTTGCTGGAATTACTAGACAGGAACAGCCTTTATGCTACGCTAAACTGAGAAAACTGCTAGGTCTAGCCTCATATTTAGTATACACAGATGAGTGGTTGTGATCTTTTAGATCTAACTCTTGAGCAAGAAAACTTCAAACGACTCCTGAAGCCACTCATTTGTTTAAAATTAAATATATATTTTTGTCAAATTTAGTTCACATGACATGTCACATCGCCTTGTTAAAGGTGGGGTAGGTAAGTTTGAGAAACCGGCTCGAGATACACTTTTTGTTATATTCCATGGAATGCTCTTAACATCCCGATAGCAATGAATATCTGAAGTGCTTTGACAAATAATCCATAAAAAAATGTCCTCTGTGGAAGCTGTAGTACTGTAAAAAGCACGACCAATCATTTTAGCCGGCCCGGCTAAAACAACTGGATGGCCTACCTGCCTGTCAGCCTTCCATCTGTGCACAAACTTATCTCGTGCCCTCATTGGTCATGTGCGCGTTTGTGTGTTTTGGAGGAGGGGCTCTGTAAGGAAGTGGCAGATTTTTTCCGGCTGTGTATTTTCTAATTCTAGCGCACTCGAGCTGGTTTCTCCAAAATTACCTACCCCACCTTTAAGAAACAAAAATTTACATTTGGAATAAAGATTTAATATCTGTAGTCAGAGGAAGAATCACTCAATCACATTTTTTTACCTCTGCATTGTTGAGCTTCCTTTTTTGTAATTTAATGCATAGGAGACATTATTTCACTATTCACATGTTGTAACTTTAAACTCTAAATGGCTGATGTGAACCGTCCCTCCTTGATCATCTGCCTAAGGGTCGCATCGGGAGGAAGATAGATCAAAAAGGGAGACCTTAAATGGTCATAAACCCAGATGTCCATCCCTGCCCTCACCTATTCCAGGGCATCTTGTGAATTGTAGTTCTACTGACATTTGTAGTCAAGAGACCTTGTTCCTATTCACTGATAGATTTGCAAAGCTTTGGATAGCCACAAACTAACAGGACTGACATTTTTCCAGACTGGTGTGCATATCTCCAACACTTTCTAAACTCATAAGAAAGTAACTGGTCCTCTCTTAAAGCAGAGGATACAGCAGAACACTGTCAATGTCCCTAGGCCTGAGTGGACTCTCTCCCTGGCCATTCATGGGCTTTTCTCAGTGGCAGCTCTTCAGCCCAGTCAAGTATGGTGACTCTTGTCGGCACAGGCCCATCTGCTGCTGTTGCTGCTCTTGAAGATCGGAGGCCAAACCATCGACAAAGTCGGGGACGGGTAGCCCTGAGAGAATCATGACTGACTTGTTCCAGATCATGAAACTGGGAACAACGGGCAGGAGGAAGGAGACCTCAAAGCTGTGAATGTGCTGGGAGTTCATGGCATCATGGAAGGACAGTGAATTGTTGTCGTAGTCCAGCAGGACACCCAGCCGCCTCAGCTGCAGGCTTGCCTCCACCAGCATCTCCTTGCCATCGTGGCGCACCATAAAGTTGTTGTTGCAGCGCGAGAACACCCATGAGGATGAGTTCTTGCCGCTCCACTCGTTTTTCGGGGCTGATTTGTAAGCTACGCCGATGGCATACCTGCAGGGAAGGAACATTTTGGAATGCATTAGTGATCTGAAACTAGTGTCCTCCTTAATGACTCTAGTTGCACAGTCAAGCTACCTCATGCTGAGGACACACAAGATCAGCACAGGCCCTTTGGGTGTTTCCTGCATGAAGAGGTCTACTTCAGAGCCAATTAGTGAAAGAACACAAATAGGCTAAGAGTATACACTATGTGTGGTGAGTGTGTCTGTTGAGAGTGGGTTTGCATAACAGCCTAGATTTAAACTCCCCTAAGAAAAATATTTCAGTTTATTGAGTCTCTTTTTTTCTTACCATGTGGACGCTCCAAGCAGCACCTCCCAGTAGTGGCACCCGCTGTCAATGAAGACATTACCAGCTGCCCCATAGGAGCCTGTGCTGCTGAAGCGCTCCGGGGTGTGGCTCTTCTTCAGCGAGCTCTCGTCCTTCTCCATGGTCAAACAGTCGTTGGACAGACGCAGCTTCTTGTGGGCAGTCTTTGGGTCCAACTTGAAGGGTTGACCTGTGAAAAGACAAGCATTTTGAGCTTTAAATTGTCTATTATTATTGTGTGTGGGTGTTTAATGTCGCCTGTTATAATGATAGTGATCACATTAACATGATTACCTAAGATCCTAAATGTAATTATTTTTGGGCAAAATGGCAGCCGACATCTAGAGTCAGAGTTCACAAAAACTAACATGAACATACATGGAGACCAAAAGTGATTAATAATCACTACATTAAGAATAATATATCAAAAGGAAATTAGTTACTTATCCAGGCTAATACAACTCCATGCCTTTGCTTAGACACAAGTAGTTTCCATTCTTTTGAATGGCGTTATGGGATATCCCAGTACAGAAGAAGTTAGCAACTGGCATTGTTATGCAAGTTGAAGTTTTAAGTTGCCTTGGCTCTAGAAATATTTTTAACTACAAAACTTTTTTAATTATTTATCAAAAACCCAATGCAAAAATGTGAAATCTAACATGATTAAAAAATGTTGTTCCCCGCCAATATCGTCAAGATACAACAAGATCAAAAGGTGAGCAGAAAGAAAGAATACAAATTAGAACAGCATATTAACTGAGAGAGACAGCAAAAGACAAAAATAAATAGAAAGTAGGAAAGTGCTTGCAGAGAACTCACAGAGAGAGAGACAGAAGAAGAGAATGTTTGAAATACAACGGCGAGAGTCTAAACTTCAAAGCCTATTGCAGCCTTTGGTGAAAACATTTCATAACAGCAGAGGAAGCCACCCGGCATTCTCCTTTGTGCCTACCATCACACAGACTTGGAAATTAGCTGAAGGAAATAGCCTTCACTTCCACTGCAGTAAGGAGCCGTCGTGGCTATTCAGTGGAAATGCTGATAACTGGTTGCAACTATTCAATTTGCACTGACACCAGTAATTTGGGTGTAATGGGTGGACAATTGAGAGGGCAAAAGTAGGTGAGTGGCAGAGGGAGAGAGAGGAGTTAGGGAGTGAGAAGGAGAGGAGAAGCTGAGGGGATAATATGAGGCCAAAGATTGGGCACAGGATCCCCTCTCCTCCTCTCCATGTGCGTAATCTGTGTGAGTGTGGGCTTCATGGAGGTCAGCCACGTCCCATCCAGGCCTGACATTTCACTGTGACACCTCTCATCTCTCAGCCCCCCCGAGCCTCCCACAGCTTAATGAGCGACACAATGAGGACCCCGACTCCTCCTCTCTTCCCTCTATCTGTCCTTCCCTTCATCTCTTCCCCCATTCTCTCATTTCATCCTCTCTCCTCTCTCACACACTCTCCTCCAATAATCTGTGTGGTGAGTGTGTGTTACCGCGTGTGGATATGAGACGACGAGGCCAATGTGCTGCTGGCAGCCAATTACATTAATGCGCTCTCTTCTTTGAACTGCTTATCGCTGCCAGCGCAGCCATTTCCAAACACTGGGGCTCTGTCATGCCTTTCCAGGGGATGACTCCTGAGAGCCGGGGCCGGGCCCGAGGTTGGGGAAGGGGAGACACACGTGACGGTAGAGGACAAGGAGACATACACAGAGCATCAACTCCGACCTACACACAAGCAGGAATACAGTAAGAGTCCAAGTGGAAATGTTTTGTATGCCAGCAGGAAGCTCGGATTTAAAATATTCATTTTCCGTATGACAGAATACATTTGTTGGTACGAGGCTGGTAGGGTGCTCAAAAATGAAACTGAATTTGGAGGTTTGCACAGGAAAAATGGCAAGTGGACTGCTAAAAGAACTCTTGCACTCGGTTTAAATTGCCATAGTTTTGGAAAGATGGAAAATTACCTTTTTTCAAACTTTCTTACAACCTTGAATGCATAATTGTCTGCTACTGCACATATATACATGCTCAATCCCATACTGTCAGATTGTAGACTACAGAAAATAAAGACAACAAGATAACAAAAGAATATATCCCACAGAATGGATTCCTTGGCAGTGACTGTCTTTAGTCTGTTCAGACTCTGCAATAAAGTAGCAATTAGAGATCCAAATGTCTGCTAAGGTGATAAGTGCTCCCTGTTTAACTGCCTTGAAGCTGGGCATTGTTACGAAATGGGAAGTCTTTAATGGAAACTTGTAAAACACAAAAAAAGAAAGAAAAGAAGAGGGGGGAAATAAAAGGAACTACTGTCTGGAGGACATTGATATAAAGCAATTTCATTGCAACTTCATTTCGCAGAGTCCTTGTTGGAATACTTGCAGTGGGATAGCATCTGGCTAATCGACTTTATTTCAATTCAGTCAATTTCACTGCTTTTCTTTTTTCCCTGGCTCACACATTTGAGCTGGGAGAGATTGAGCTGCCTCTGTAATGAGGGAGAAAGAAAAAAGGGATCCCATTTTACTGCATAACTAAACAATTACTGCAGTAGAAGCAGCAGCATCAGGGACTTCTCTAAAGCTCCAACACAACCTTATAACTTTTCACAGGTCTCAACATCTCTGTTGAACTTACAGATCCTTCCCTGGCATTCAAATGCATGGCTGCACTTCACTTGGCTTCTAATTGACTGAACCATATGTAATGTGGTATTTAATCCTGCAGTGCTGACTACTGTACCAAAACACAGATTTACACTGGTGAGATTAAAAATGAATCCACCATGTAACATGGCTCTAGCACAGCAGGCCTTCATGACAGTGTGTTTTACCATAACAACTGAAATGTTCTTTGTGTGGTAAAGAGCAAAGACAAACAGCAATCACTGATCTTCTCCGACTTCACCCTTTAATGAACTCGGCAGAGTCTTCAGAGACCAGTCCTAGAAAAAAAAAAGTTCAGTAAAGCTTCTGGGTCTGCTAAGAAATTCACTCAGTGATTAAGGAGCCGTTTTTGCAAGGAAAGTTCATGTTATGGTTCGTTAGAGTAAAAGTATGTGAAAGATTTCCCCCCCCAGAGTGAGCGTCAGAGTATTAACGACTGTGTGTTACTGTAGGTGCAATCATTCACTAAAACTCTGCTTGTTTTTTAATGACACATGTCTTTTTGTACTCCTTTATCATTACACGTGTTCTTACTGTATTGCAGATAAAAAGGGCTTTAATGCATTATAAAATAATATCAAGGGTAGCTTGGTGAGGTGCACTGCCCACAATCTGTCTTGGAGAAAAATGAACAAATGAAAAATATTGAATGAAAACAACAGCAACCTCCCCGCCAACTGGCATTTTCACCCGCTCTGTAGATGAAGGAAGGCACTTTGGGCCATTCAACAAATCAGAAAATCCAAGAGTTCCTACATTATTGAGATTATGAAACCAAAAGGAGCTGTTTTTTTGTTAATTAGTACAGAAGGACCTATCTATGCTTGACAAACGAACATTTTATAACCAGTTCATCTTTACTTCTCCACTCTCCTCTTCCTTTCTCTCATCTACCTTCGTCTCGTCTCCACCTCCTAATGTTTGCTTTAGGGCTGTGTGGCAGCTTGAGGACTGTCATCAGAGATGCGTGCTGGGTAAATATTATTGCAGGTTCTTTAACAGGAAGTAAAGAGGTACACAAACCCCTGGGGCACCTTGACAAGTGATGTTCTCTGTCTGGATTTGAGCTGCCTACACAATGCAGGGACTCATTTTCACACACGCACAAACACACTCTAGGGTGTTTGCCGACTCCCTGTTTCGTACACACAATATGGACGCCCAGAATAGTTATTCAACAGGATGACGACCGTTATAAAGTCAACAGTCCAGTGTTTGACTGTCAGCATCGTACATTTTCAGATTAGCCTTTTGTTTTGACACTCACAATATGTTCACTCAAAATACTTCTCTTGTAAACAATAGAGTTGCTAAAAAAAAAAGACACATTTAAGCCTGGATTTATGTGGTTGGTATACTCCTACTTCACACCATCCTGCAGCTTTGTACAACAACATGACAAAACTTGATGTTGATGTTGGCAGGCTTTACACTGTGGGACAGGTACTACGAGGAGGCAGCTGGTCCTAGTGAGAGCACACAATCACACCTCAGCCGAGCCCGATTTGGCCCCTTTTCAAATGTATCATTCGCATTTTAGGTAGATTAATCGAGGTTTTACCTTGCTGTTAAATGACATTTGAAAACCAAACAGCAGTGCATATAATCAACAAGTAAAAACAACCTTTCACAGGCTTTACAGCAACTCCAAAACATCTATAATAACAGTTGTTCCTGGCCTGGATACATGTGCTGAATTTATAATTAAGGAAAACACATCTTGTAGTTAAACTTCCACCTGTGCACGCAATCATTTCAGATGCAATGGACAGTACAGACTGCTTCCTCTGAGCAGACCTGTCACTGTCCTGCAGTCAGAATACTAAACACCAGAGGAGAGACACCACAGACAGACACCTCCTGCATGCTAATACTGACGAACAACTGTAGCAGTCTAAAAGCTGCTGATATGACAACGTTTAAGTTTGAACCCTTTCCCCCCTCCTCAGTTAACAAACTTCTTTTCTCTCCTACTGCATATTTGTTTCTTGATGGTATAAATGAATTACTCAGACAGACAGCCAATTAAAAAGCACAAACGGGGCACAGTCTAATAAGAGCCGTCTTTATTAACGTGGGTCTATTGTTCTGTCAGCCGCCACTCTAATGAATTGTAACCAAACTCGGATGCAACCCTAATTCAATTTTAGGCTTATAAAAGCCTAAAATAAGTTGCTTTGGACAAAAATATAATGATTATTATGCTATCAACCAGAAGATGCGGCTTTCACTTTTTAATGTTAAATAACTGGATCCTTGGATTTGAATTAATTAGAAAGGCCTCATTCATTTTGTTTCCATAAAAAAAAAAAAATCTGTAGTTATGCAAGTTTTAAAAATGGTAAATGAGAGAAAAACATTTAAAAACCTAAACTTTATGACCAAAATGAAGTGTTTTTATCAAACCATCACGCTTTGACTGTTGACTTAAGGTACAGAAGCTGTTACTGGACTGGCATAGTGTTATTCTGCTGTGTGCATCACTAAAGCATGGACTGTATTAATGGGTAAAAAACAGTAG